CACATACTAGAAGGATGTGTAACTATGACATACAACTATCTACTGGGGCTTTGGGGGAAAAAAAAAAAAGGGAGGAGGATTGGCAATAGATGTTAGCTCAGATTCAGTCTTCCTCAGCAAAAGGAGGAGGATTAGCACCGATGTTAGCTTAGGGCTGATCTTCCTCACAAAAAAAAAAAAAACAAACAAAAAAACAAATACAGCATCCTCCATACCAAGGCCTAGGTAATGAGGCCAACCAAGGCTGCCACGCCTCTGTGGGCAGTCATCCAGGAGAGAAGCAAACATAGGCCTCTATCTTCTGGCCAGACTGCAAACCACCCCCCATTCTCCCCAAAATAGCAGACAGTTATGTTTAGGAATTAAGTGGGAAGGGGCATGTTTTCGAAAACATTGGCCACTAGCTACTGCCTATGCATCCCTGACATTAAAACTCAAACAAATATGTGCCTACTTGACAGCTACTCTAGGAAGAGGTTTCTACATCCTATAAAAGGAAATCTTGAGTACTTTACTCTGGGCTGGAAGTCTTAGAGGAACAGGAACTAGTGGGGGAACCAAAGTTTTAAACACCATGAAAGAGGGCCGGCCCCGTGGCTTAGCGGTTAAGTGCGCGCGCTCCGCTGCTGGCAGCCCGGGTTCGATCCCAGGCGCACACCGACGCACCACTTCTCTGGCCATGCTGAAGCCGCATCCCACATACAGCAACTAGAAGGATGTGCAGCTATGACATACAACTATCTACTGGGGTTTTGGGGGAAAAAATAAATAAATAAACACCATGAAAGAAAAAGGTGTGATTTGGGATGCCAGAGTCGCAGACACAGAGACAAATACTGGCCCTCCTCTTCCCTGTGGGATATTCCCTTTCTCTCTCCTGAACTCTTCCTAGCTCTCTTCCACTTCTCTCTTTCTAAATTAAACTAGTATACAGGTTTCCCACCCATCACATGTCATTTAAGAATGTATTCTAATGGTGTAAAAGGCTTATTCCCAATTCAAGGAGTAATAAATATCTACTGCACACTTTTGATCATTTTTTGATAAATATATACATTTCCCTACCACCCATAAATTAGCCTTTTCCTCTATATTCGGGGGAAAAAAGCTCACCATTCTATCTGTGCTGTAATATGATAAAACTCATCCCTTTTTGCATACTAATTCACAAACTAGAAAAGAACAAACAAGTTACCAAGGAAGCAAGACAACTTTAAATTGCTGATTTAACAAACTTAGTTAACTCAAAATGCTAAGGCTGACACAAGATCCTCTCTCAGAAATTCCTGCATTGTAGAAAATGTGTTTCAGATTCGTGAAGTGACTCAAATTTTAACTACTGGATAGAAGGGAGAGACTTTTGCATTTACTAAACAAAGTTTTATGTTTCATATTCTTAATTTTAAAAACAGATACATTCTTTGACCCAGTGATTCCACTTCTAGAAATTCATCCTACAGATGCATTCCTGTATGTGCTAAATGATGCGTGTATAAAATCTTCATTGCACAAGTGTTCTTTTTGTTTGTGAGGAAGATTAGCCCCGAGCTAACATCCATTGCCAATCCTCCTCTTTTTGCTGAGGAAGATTAGCCCTGAGCTAAGATTTGTGCCCATCTTCCTCTATTTTGTATGTGGGATGCTACCACAGCATGGCTTGATGAGCAGTGCATAGGTCCGCACCCGGGATCCGAACCTGTGAACCCCGGGTGGCTGAAGCAGAGCATGCAAACCTAACAACTACACCACCAGGCCAGCCCCGCAGATAACTTTTTATCAATAAAAGACTGGTAAATATAAATAAATATACAGATTTTCCTCAGCTTATGATGGGATTATGTCCTGATAAAACCCATCAAAAATTGAAAATATTCTAAGTCAAAAATACCTTTAATACACCTAACCTACCGAACATCATAGCTTAGCCTAGCCTACCTTAAACATGCTCAGAACACTCACGTTAGCCTATAGGTGGGCAAAATCATCTAACACAAAGCCTATTGTATAATCAAGTGTTGAATATCTCACGTAATCTATTGAATACTGTACTGAAAGTGAAAAACAGAATGGCTGTATGGGTACAGAATGGTTATTAGTGTATCGGTTGTTTACCCTCATGATCGCCTGGCTGACCAAGAGCTGCGGCTCACTGTCACCACCCAGAGTCAAGAGAGAGTATCGTACCCTGCACATTGCTGGCCTAGGAAAAGATCAATATTCAAAATTCCAAATACAGTTTCTACTGAATGTGTATCACTTTCACACCATCATAAAGTCAAAAAATCGTAAGCCAAATCATTGTAAGTCAGGGAACATGTGTATACACTTGCTATGGACTGAACTGTATCCTCCCAAAATTGATATGTTGAAGCCTTGATCCCCACAAGGCACGATCTGGCCATGTACGCCCTCTCACACCTTCTAGAACTCATCTACTCTTTCCTCTGCCTCACTCTGCTGCAGCCATATTGGCCTTCTTGCTGGTCTTCAAGCCAAATACACACGTATCTATCTCTCTCTCCCCTCCTCCCTCCTCGCCCCTTTCTCTTTCCCTCCTCCTTGCAATGTGCACCAAGGAAAGGCCATGTGAGCACACAGTGAGAAGGTGGCCACCTACAAGCCAAGAAGGAAGTCCTAACCAGAACCCTAGCCAAGCAGACTAAGACAATACTGTCACATTAATGGATATTATTCCAAATAATGTAATACTATATAGTCTTTAAAAAGAATGAAGCAGCTCTTTATGAATGTGTGGGGGATCAGAATTGGCCACCTCAAAATATGGCTCTTTATCTTGATTATTTTTAAGAACAAAAGACTCTAAAAGAAACTTTGACCTTCCCCCTCACTGCCTAAAAGAATTTAAGATAAAAGGCCTGTCTCCAGGATGGACCATCACCATAGATAACTCTGGGTATTGATGGACTGGGAGGGTCCTTGCTAAGCCCATTCTTATCAAATTTCTGTTTACCAAACATTTGCTTTTCCATTTCCATGTGAATTGCCTTCTTCCCCTTTGAAGTCCCAAACTACTACCCCCAATATCCTCCTTTGTCTTTAGCTGAAGATGGTATTTAAGATGAGAGCTTCTGCCATTTTGGCGAGTTACTCAGTTTTTCCTGGGTCTCTCCCATGTATACATGTTATAAAGCTTTGTGTGATTTTCTCCTGTTATTCTGTCTCATGTCATTTTAATTCATAGCCCAGCTATGAGTGGGTAAAGGATATGTCTTCCTCCCCTACAAATGCATATGAAATGATCCATAATAAGCAATAAGGGAAAAAAGCAAGTTGTAGAACAATGTATAATATGCTACTATTTATAAGAAAGAAAAAATATGCATTTACTTATAGATGCACAGAAAATCTCTGGAAGGATACCCAAGAAAGTTGTGTTCTCTGAGATAGGGAAGAATGGTTAGGAGTATTAGGGAGATATTTCACTGCATATCTTACACATTTTAAATTATGTACCACACGAATGTATTACCTACTCCAAAAACATTTTTAAGTTTAAAAAAATTTTTAAAGGAGCAGGTGGTTCATTTGTTATTTCTAAAAAATTGACTTTAGTCGTAAGATTTTTAACTTACAAAAACTTACAACAAAAGAGGATTTTTAACAATCCTCAATTGATTTTATTCAAGCAAGTTGTAGCCACCTACAGAAAGATTCTCATTCATAGTTTAGGTTAACCACCTAGTCTTTAGATTATTGCCCAAACTATCCAAATCCAGCACACCCTTCCAATCTCAAATCTCTTTCTATCTGCTTGGTTAAATCTTCCTTGATAACCCCAAATCATGATCATCTCTCTGGCCTCCAAAATCACATTTCGCTTGAGACCACTCATCTGGACATTTTTCTGCCTTGTAGTGGGTAGGAGCACTGGCCTTTGCAGCAGTCAGCACTGGGCTTGACCTCCTGCTTACCTGGGTAAACTTCTTAATCTAAGCCTCAATTTTTCCATCTATAAAACAGAGATAATGACAGTATCTACTTCATTGAATTTTTGTGAGTAACTGCCATTGATAAGGCATGTAATATTTCAGCAAAGTGCCTGACACACAGTAAGCACTCAATAAATGTCAGGTATTGTTACTATTATCTGTACATCTCTTTTCTTCCCCGTAGGACTGTAAGCAACTTGAGAGCAAGAATCCTGCCTCTAGTGTCTCGGTGTTTCATATGAAAAATGGGTATTATACTACACACCTTACAGAGTTGTACCAAACAAGATAACATATCTGAAATCCTTAGCAGAATGCCCAGCATAAAATACTCAATAAGCATTAAAGATTATCTCGCACTTTCGATTTTTGCAATGACTAACAGAGCATCCTGCATACGTGACAAACCTGGGTGTGATCGCCAACTCTTCCTACCTGGACGAAGCTGAGTTACGCAACCTCAGTTTCCTCATTCTCGTAAGGGTGATATGTACAATGCATATTAAATATTTAATCCAGGAGCTGGCACCTAGTGGATGCTCAATAAATATCAGGCCAGCTCCCCTTCCCGTCTCGTCCACCTTTTCCCCTAAAGTCACTAGTTCTGGGCAGGCAGACGGCCTGCAACCCGGCGGACCCTCAGGATGAGAATTTCCTAAATCTGCATAGGGACCCATCTCCCGACACTTCAGCCTCGCCTCCCGCCGCCTCACAGGGACTGCGAGGTCCTGAGCAGCCTGCTCGATTAAACCCCTCAGTGCGAATTTTCTCTCCGCCCCTCCCCACACCTCGAAACCTTGCTGTCCCGCTCTCTCCAGACCCCTCCACAGTCTTCCTTCCCTCCGCCCCACTTACGACACCTTCCCAAACCCCATTTTTTCATCCTTCTTCAGATTCCAATCCCTCTCGCCTCTGAATTCCCAAAGCTGGTCCTTTCTCGGTCCCGGACTTGACCTCCACCGCCCCCGGGTCCCCCCGAACTCACCCTTCTCAGGTCTCCAGGCCCCCGACCCCTCCCTCCCCCAACACACTCGCGCCCCAACGTCCCACCTGCACTTTCCGCCTCTTCAGCGCCGCCGCGTCCAGCCACACGCCGCAGGCCTCCCCCTCGCGGCCACTCCGCCTCATGGCCGGTGAAGAGACCGAGCCAACCGGACACCGGGCTGGGGCTGGGGCCACCTCAGGGAACGGCCGTAACCACCTCCACCACCAGACCTTCAGATCTCCCGCCAACGCCGGGGGCGGGGCTACGCCACGGCGCAGGCCCGCCCCCAGCGTCAGCTCCACCCGACCAAGCCCCGCCCCTCCCCCTAAGCCCCGCCCAACGCATTGACCAAGCCTGACCCTCTCAGGTGTGGAGTGCCTGTCCGTTTACGAAAGCCTTCGCGTTCTTTGTTCTCGTTCCAGAGTTGCTTTCCGGAAACTGTGCTGTGTGATCGCGTTCGCGACATTGCTCAAGGAATGTGTCTTTTCTTTTGGCTGAATTAGTTGCACTTTCTTCCTGTAGGCATAATAACTACCCCGGGCTCAGGGTTTTCCTTGTCTCGTCGCTGAATCCTCCCAATCATCCATCACATAAGGCATGGTGGCGCCCAGGCTCAGGTCCACCGACTTCAGGCCAGGGTCTTCAACACTACCTAAACGGTGACCATACACTCGAGTTTATGAATTACTTTTGTAATTCAAAGAGAAAAAAAAAAACTAAGTATAACTGTGAAACCACATGCGAGAGGATTTAGAAAACCATGAATGCTAAACATTTGGAGTCAAGAACTAGCTTTCAGTCCTGCCTTCACCGCTTACTACATGGCCTTGGATTTTAAAGAGGATCAGGGCCAGCCCGGTGGCTTAGCGGTTGAGTGCGCCCGCTCCGCTACTGGCGGCCCAGGTTCGGATCCCAGGCACCGACTCGCCACTTCTCTGGCCATGCTGAGGTGTTGTCCCACATACAGCAACTAGAAGGATGGCAACTATGACATACAACTATCTACTGGGGCTTTGGGGAAAACAACGAGGAGGACTGGCAATAGATGTTAGCCCAGGGCTGGTCTTCCTCACAAAAAAAATAAATAAATAAAGAGGATCAAATGAGTTTTGTGTAACTACTTTGTAAATTCTGAAAGCCCCTCAAAAATGCAAAAATGCTGGCAACCCACCTGTCCTTCCATCCCTAACCATGATCTCCATAGATGTCATATTTATATAATAGGATATTTTAGCAGTAGAGTGATATCTCTTATTCATCTGGGTTTTTTTTCTTTTCTATCTGTACTTCCTAATTTTCTTTCACTGTACATATATTGCTTGTGTACTGTAGAAAATGCACTATTCCAAAAGTTACATATAAAATACTATAAAAGTTAACATATAAAATCCTCCTTGATTGAAGGAAAGACCAAAAAAATGAAATCTTTGTCAAATTATAAGGTGGGATTATCTATATTTTAAAGATATTCTTTTAACTTCTAAAACTTATTTAGTAATACAACATCCCCACCATTCCTGCTCAAAAAAAGTTCACTTATATAATGTACAAGGCCCCAACCCCACCCCCCAGGCAAAGATAAAACAGAAACTGCCCCCCTTCTCCCTGTGCCCACCACAGGGGCCACAGCTTCCTCCAGAAAACCTCCTCCTGGCCCCGTCCCTGGGACAGGAGACAAAAAGCAAAGAGGCAGCTGTTATCACAGTCACTTTATTGCATCCAGGACATATCAGAGTCCAGATCACCCCTAGCTCCAGCCCCACCGAACTCCTCCTTCCATACCTCTTGACCTTTGTTCAGGTTTTTCCCCTTGCCTGGAATGCCCTTCCTGCATCTGCAAACTCCTATTCACCCTTCCCAACCCCAGACCCTGAGGGGCCCAAGCAACACTGATTATTCCCTCTTCAGTGCTTCCCCTGACAGTTCATTCTGATTTTAGAGTCTTTCTTATCCTGTATTGATCCAGAGGGCCCAGTCGGTGGCCCACCTCTGAGCAGAGGCCCAGGAAACACTGAATGGATAGCTGAATCATGAACAAGGGAACCAGGAGAGAGGCTGGGAACAGGATGTGTGGGACACAGCGGCCAGAGCCAGAGGGTTGGGCTCCCTGTCTACGGCAGTGACTGAAGAGGTATGGGGCACTGGATGGCATCCATTTCCACCTGGCACAATCTTCTACCTTTGGGGACTCTCTGGAGCTCCAAAACTCCAGGCTGGGGCTCAAGGAACGGTAAGCTCCTGCACACACTTTGGGCCTGCCCCTTCCCTGTCCACCAATGAAATCTGGGTAGAGGGGGTTGCTGAGGCCTCCCCTGCCTCTCAGCTCAAATCTGACTGGCCTAAATCCCACCTTCACCCCCTCTCAGATGATCCTGGCCCCAGCTGACCACCCCTATCCTTACCCCTAGTGAAAGGGAACGTGGGGAGGCAAACCAGGGTGGCCCACATCTTTATCTCTGTCCCTCTCCCGGGGCAGGGAGCTGGGGCAGGCCCAGGAGTGGACCCCAGCAGTTCCTGGCCAATCCCCAAATTCAAGGACTGCCCAGTGCTGCCCTTGGCAGCTGAGGCATATACAGAGAGCTACCACGGGCCAGACACAAACAACTTTACCAGGCCTGTTCCCATCTGGAGCCAAGCCTGGACCCCTGGGTCCCCACTATACCTCCCTCCCTACCAGATGCCACCCCCCTTCACTGGGTCTTCTGATGGAGTTTGCGCCGAACCAGCTGGCTCAGGAGGAACGCGGTGAGGACACTGCTGCCCATGGTGAGTAGGAAGAGGCCAAAGAAGTTGTGGGGCCAGCAGGTGTGCAGAGGCTCATAGATGGGCTGCCGCGCCTCATAGTCCAGCACCACAGCCTCCAGCTGAGCCAGCGTGCACAGCACCAGGAACACGTGGAAGACCTGGTGGCCCTGCCCAAAGAAGTGGCATCTGCCGGGGAACCAGCGCTCAGGCTCGAAGACTGAGAAGAAAGCCGCAGCCAGCAGGAAGAAGACCACCTGGCACTTGTGGTAGAGAAGAGCCAGGTCATCCGTGGCAGGGTCGGGGGAGACCAGGATGCGGTGTACCACAGGGCTGATGACCAGTGCATAAGCCAGTGCCACGGGCACCTCCTGGCAAGTGCGGCCCAGCAAGCCGGGCTTCTGGGTGTACATGTTGTAGCAAGAGCCAGCGCAGGAAAGCCAGGCGAGAAAGGCAGCCATGGGCAGGAAAACAGCCTGCACCTGTGCATGCCAGGCGGGCTCGATGG